ACGGTTCTTGCTATAATTAGATGGTAAAATATTACAAACAACTTAAAATTTTATATTTCCTATGCGATGTTTATTTTCTTTTAATAAATCGGCGATGGTATATCACTTAAATATCTTTTTCTCTAATATTCGGTTCGTATCGTTTTTCACCGCTGTCTAAAGACTGTTTTTATAATTTTTGATCTTGACGGTAATTTTTATTTGCAAACCCGTCAAGCATAAGATTGAAATAACATTAAAAAGTGAAGCAAAAAATGAAAATTACACCTTTATTATTTGATATTTATTATATTTTACAAAAATGATCCAAGAGTTCAAATTTCTACAATAGGACCGTACTCGAATAAATAGTGGATCTAAAATCAAATAAAAATATATGGTTTTCTTGTAAAGTTATCAAATATATTAAGTACAGCCCATCTAATCAAAAAGTGTTTAGACTATGAATTAAAATTAAAAATATAAAAACGCTTCCCTATAAAATACTCCCCAGATATTTCGACTATGCCCAAAATCTAATCAGCTTATCGCAAGATGGATAAAACCTTATCTTTAACATTTGGTGTTTTTCTCCTTATCCGTTTTTGAGATATCGTGGATACAGACACACAGGCACCCATACAAACACATCATCGTAAAAAGGATAAAAACTGATTCAGGGAACCCCAAAACGTAAATATTCTTTAAAAACTCGAGGTCAAAAAAGATCATGACTCCTATAATACTTTCCTTACTGGTTACAGGAAAGTAAAAATGACAAAATACAGAAGAAAACATCAAAAATGTATTTATAAATAATAAGTATTTAAAAATATTTAAAAAATCAATTCGTATTATTGTTTATTGCTGCGATTATAATTATAAATTTGCGTTTCCTGTTAAACTTGTTTTTTATTGCCCTTTGAAAAAAATACAACTTTCTTTATTCCATAGAGACTGAACTGTCCAAAACAAAATTTTCCGTTTATAAATTATACAGACGAAAGCAAAGACATCATAAGTATCAAACATGGTCATTAACATCGCCAGATTAATGTTTTATATAAAACTTGAATTCCTCGTTTCCTTTGCATTTTGAGGAGCGGTGACTTGGTGGTCATTGTTTACACACGACAGAAAATAAAAAACTGAAGTCATTCGTTACATCCGGGCAACAAAACTCTAATTATTTCCTCCACGTATTTTTGTAGCATTGCAACGATTTGCGCCTGATGTACGCCTTCCTGTTCGTACAACAACTGGCGTAATATATGATTTCTTTGTTCCGCAATAAATCTTATCTTCGAGTGTTCCGCAAGGCACAGTTTTATGGCCGCTAATTAATGGTATGAATACACGCAGAAAATTAAATTAACGCATTTCTCGTAGTTTGCCATTTTATTAGCTTATTACAGGCCATTTTCCAACTTTAGTATAGGCTCTTTGGTTAAATGCCACATCTAAGACTTGTTTCCACAGCAGAAGTTTTAATACATTGTACTGAAATTTGGTTTTTATGTAAAAATAATTGTGCAAGTGCCTATGTCAATAAAAATCCGATATTTCAGATTTTCATAAATAACAAGAGACAATGTCAGGTATACCTCCAATCCTTGTTTTCTTTGGTCTGCTTTATGAAACCGGAGCTTATCCGGATATTAAATTACTTACAGCTGTTGTATATATGTTTATTTCATTTGTTGAGCGTTTGATCGATTTTAATTTGGTAGAAGTTTTACATAAATTTAGTTCCACTGCAAAAAATGTATATTATGTAGAACTTTCAAAATGTGACAGATTAGAAATCTACGAGTATCTTGAAAAATTACATTCTAATAAAATATGATTTCCAAGCCTAAATATTATTTTTAAAAGAATTCAATAAAATAATGACAATAAAAGAAAGAAAATAAAAAATTTCGTATTTTACAAAACTTTAAATGGACAAAAGTTCGTATTAAAAAACTAGTAAAATCAATATGTATAAAATTTCAGCCTCAGTCATGCCATCAACTACCCCAACCAAATCACTGGTGAGTCCCACCCTTCAAGGCCATTAAGTGTATCATTTTTGCGAAATCTATTACGAGCGTGCATGTGGGAGCCATCTGTACACACTTCGGCCGTCTTCATTGTGTTACGTATTTAAAATAAAAGGGGTCACGCCGACAGAGGACTGAATGGTTTGTCTCGATTTCTGAATAAGGCCGCCATGTTAAACTAAATTTGCTGGTTAAATTTGGTTGGATATTAGTTGAGTAAACAGTTTAAAAATCACTATCAACGTGGCAACAATGTTCATCAAAATTTATGGGCCTGATATACTTTGGCTGATCTTGAGCATGTGATCTGTCGAAATGACATGAACTTCAAATTACTCTTCTAAGATTAACGAACAGACGGAGTAATTAAATGCCGTGATCACAGGCATCGGAACTGGAGGTTTGGTGTCAATCACCCTGTATTTTTGTCATTCATATTTTGTTTGCAGTGGCGGAGGGTTGGTTCTGTGCGTTATTCCATTTAGTGTTTTAAAATAAGTCGGCTGATAAATATGACGTTGTTGAGATGGCGTTGAATTCGCAAAGAACAGTTTTTTTTTTTTAATTTGGTGTCACTGGCATCGACTACTAAGACCATTAGCCTCGTGTTTTGTGTAGGCTTTGTTACTGTTTCCCAGCGCCACTTTAGGAACAGCACTGTTAATTAGAACCCAACCGTGAATGGTCGAGAAAGTTATCACCGTATCATTGCAAATTGAATCCCAATGAATTAATAGATAGCAAAAAAGAAATTTTTGGAAATATACAGTAGCGTAGCCAGCCATTTTTCATGGGAGTGTTTTTGAGAACTATGGGGGGTTCCATCAAGAAAGTGAATAAAAAGAGCGCCAACACTATAGCAGAAATGGTGATACGAGGACCCTCCAGGGGGGTTCTGACCCCCAAAACCCCCCGTGTGGAAATATAACATCCCAAAATTGAAAAAATGCTTTAGGACATAGACAGAAGGAAGAACAGAGAATGTGAAAAACTGGTAGGCTTATGGAAATTGTTGTGGAGTCTTTAATTATCATTTTAGGAAATGATTGTTACACCTCGGACTCTAATTAATAAAGTAGGATTAAAAGTAAAATTTTATTTAATGTTTTATCTTTTTTAAACCTTGCAAGTTACGCCACTGTTTAGTGGAACTAAGCACGTGGCCTTCTTGTGATTCTGTTCGGTAATTCAAGTATAATAAAGTTATGGCGTTATTGACAGATTTAACAAGCATTCTTGCAAAAGGGATTCTACTCTATAATTATTGGCATATTTATCCCATTTAACCACTTTTAATATGGAAATGTTTGCCAAATCTATAAGATACATCTGCATCACTTCATTTAGCTCAGTGCCCCTCAATATTCTTTCTTTATAGGGCGATCCTCCCATAGGACACTTTTGGGTCAACATACCCACATTACTAATTTTTTATATTTTATACAGGGTGATCCTCCCATAGGACACTTTTGGGTCAATATACGCATATTACTAATTTTTGTATCGTACACAGGGTGATGCGATAAACCCTTATCATTCTTAATATATATTCATTTATATATGTTCAGTTATTTCGATACCTTTACACAAGGTCAGTCTATATTTTTTGTTTGTACAATTTTTTTTTAAAGAAGGAAAGACAAAGTACCTCAGGTCATAGAGACAGGGCTAGGTTACTGATTTGGGATGTTTCCACCAGCAAGTCTGGACTGAGACCATTGCAATAATTCTTACTTTTTTCTAACACTTACATAATTTACAGATTCACAACTTTTTTTGTTCGTAATAAATATCACCCACAATTTTTTTTTAAACCCTTCATGTCAGGAGGAGAATGTTAAAAATGCCTTTAACATAAATATCAGAATCGGGAGAATGATTCAAGGCCGCCCCTGTTGAATTTACTTAAGAATCAATTCAGGGTAAGGTTGACAAATCCAACAAAATAAAAATAAACAACGCCGTTATTATCCAATACAAATGCAAGAATTTAAAATCGATAATAATGATTAGACAAAGGAAAACAGTTGGCAATATGTATGCGCGAAATGAATGCGCAAGTCGTAACGGTTTTTGAATCGCTGCACGTAATCACCAGACTTGTCTCAACCTAAAATGTATATAGTGTAAATATCTAACCAACAATGTAGTGTTTTGTTTGTGTTACATAAAATAAAACGTGTTATTACTAAAATAATTGGTTTTCTATATTCGATCTTTTAATCCAAAGCCAGCGGCTTATGAACACATGGATAGTCTTCTGTGGTATTATAAACGAGTTTAGCATGCAAAAAGTTTAATATCCTTATGCAGGCGAAACAGTAAGCTATTACTGATTTGCCTACTTTCAGTCAGTAAAAAATATTTTTAATCTGAACACACTTTTATTAGCAATTGTTAGAATTGACTGATATGTTCTAGTATAAGCATGTAATGTCATTATTTATTGTGGTATTATTTATACCTAATATCTAGTTATTTGTCACGATTTTCTTAATATTTTTCAAATCAAATGGATTGTCGTATATATTCATACACTCGTTTTTGAGTCATTTCTCTCTTGCCTTGAATTTTATTTAATGCGTAGTCTAACTTGTTTCACTTTTTCGCTTTATTTGTTAACTCTAAATCTATTTTTTCATCTTTCTATAGCTCTACATTTTGCATGTTTCTGTTTTCATTGATTACCATGATCCTACTTTTCTCTGTATTGATTCCTACAATAGTTTTTCATTTTTATTTCTGAATCTTCTGTTAGTATTATATATTTATGTCAAAATCCGATACTGATTCAAATAGATAGAAGATTTATCTGCGCTTACAGAGTTCTTCGAATTGTTATCAACTGAACTTTTTTTTGACCATATTTTGCGTGGACATTTTTTGTGTCATTTTTATTGTCACTTTAAAAATTATATTTATACTATTATTATATTTAAATATGATGGAAAATTTCAAAATTTAAATTTTTCTTTTCAGGCCTCTTAAGGTTTAGATGCTCAAAGGATTAAGAAAAACGAGTGCTAAAGAATTCTACAATCGGACCACTAACTAATACATTTTACTTTAGGTAAGTAGGTATTCTTTTTCAAATGAAATTGATAACAGAATTAGAACAATAACAATTTAACAAAATGCAAAACGATCTTTTAAATAGATTAAAATGAATACAAATACAGATTAGTTACATAATTATCATCTTTTCCACACACAATTAAACATAAGGTTAATTTATTCTTATTTAAAGCCGCGTATTGTATAAAAACAGGCTCATTTAATTTTTTCATCTGATAAACGTATCTACAGAACATATATATTTTGACCTTGAAATTCTATTTTGTATAAAAGATTGACTCTTCACGTCGATTGTGGTACAGTAGAAGAATCTTGAAGAACAACTTCTCATATTTCTTGTCAAGCACAATGATTTTTTTTTAAATATCGATTTGATTAAACAGTTTATTAATGTAAAATTGCTTTCGTGGAAATCTATAAAAGAAGTTCGTTGAAAATAAGTTTCTTTGTGATATTTGATATAAGAGTAGTAGGTACCTATACTTTTTAATATAATAAGATCATTGCCAATAAAAATACCGCAGATGAAATTGTTTGAAGCATAAAATAAAGTCTAATCTCAGAATTTGACTTGTAAATATATACGAGTATTTTGCAGTAAGAAAATTTAACGTTACCACTTTTTATTTAGGTGGTTAGTTTTTATTAATTAAAATGCAAATCAAAATATATACAGTGTTAGCCAGAAGTCTTCTGCCCCTATATATTTTGAACGTTTATGCCATTGTATAAGTAGTCCTAGTAGGTCAGCCCAATGCATTTATTTGTTTGATACCGAAAGGAGACCACCACCAGGTGGCCAGTCTAATTGAGTCTCTTTAAGCTAGAGACGGCTGGATCTTTTGCTAAATAGATGGCAGAATAAACTTAATGAAAGTTGTCATTTTTATTCCACTCTGTATTGTTTTCATTGGTTTTAAAAATATGTCAAACTAAAGAAAACTGATATTCGTAATATTGTTAAGACTTATTGCTCCGCTGGCCGCTGACAATAGCAAGAAATTTGTATAAATAGGGATTTTGGTATAATCCTAGAAGACACAATTTTAAAGATAATACCATAATTTTTTATGTGCAAAAAGAATAAGTGGCACTAGCCCCGGGTTAGCATACTTTTTTCAAAAAAATGGCCCGTTTCGTCAAAAAAATTATAAAATTTATAATTTTTTTAAAAAAGGCAACTTTTAATAGAGAATTAACATTATCAAACATGCATTATTCTTTAAACGATTAGGTACTATTAAGTTGTAGTAAATCATTTCCTTAACAAGATCAAAATAGTATATTGTTTCATGAGTGACGAAAATAACATTTTTTGACGAGTAAAACACTATACTTTTTCTACGAACTCTATTATGTCATGTAGGTACCTACTAAAATGAAAAAAAAACAAACGTTGGCAAATGCTTTATTTTGTGTTAGGAATAACAAAAAATTAACCAACAATTAAATATTTCAGAAATATTATTTATTATTTAAATATTGATTTATTGTTATATTTGAACAATTGTTCAAAATTATGGGGGTATCACACTCAAGCTTTTTATTTATTGAGGTAGATGCCGACATATTTGTTCTACTGTTAAATGTCATTTCAGATGATGATGATGCGCCATAATCGGATGAACTAGTAGTTTCCTTATTTTGTACAGATTGTAAAATTTTGGTTTGTATTTGGTTTTTACTGTTCGTGGATTCATCAACATATCCTTCCGCAACACTACTAGATTTCCAACCACCGTGCTTTTTTAACAGAAGCAAGTCACCTCCTGCATCCACTAATAGCGTTGCGGATGTTCTGCGAAACAGTGCCCAGTGTAATCTTGAGGATTCGGAAGCGTTAAAAACTGAGCAATTTCGTTAGGAAATTTACTGATTTTATTAATTCCAACAACCTGTCTGCTACACTTTCCATTCTGATAGTTAATAAAGAATCTTGAATTAATTTGATCCATGTTTGCGGGACGTAGGATCATATATTTTTTAGAAATATCATAAAAGGGTCCAGAAATATGAAAAGAACGCGGAACTTTTGTTTTTGTATTACGGATTTTAACTAACAGAATACTTCCAGTATCCTTTACAACGCTTATTGTTAAATCTTTTAGATCGTGGCAACGACAAGCGCCAGATAATCCAAAAACTAATGCTACCTACAAATAATATTAGTAGTTATGTATTAAGTATTTGTTCAAATAAGAATAATAATTCCGTTACCTTTGTTATTAAATATTTATGGTCAGGTGCATTCTTTAGGAAAGTCTTTATGTCTTCAGGCGAAAAAATTTTGGATTTTTGGCTTTTAAAACCATCAGATTTTCTTTTCAAAAGCGAACGTAAGTTTGAATATTTACCAATATCGACATCATTTTTAACAGAGAGTGTAGTTCTTAGCATCGAATAAATGGACCATAACGTCGACGGTTTAAAATTTGAACATATTTCTCCAAAGTATGCTAGTAGTACAGTTTCCGAAAATGATTTCACTTTATTTTTTTCTCTCCAGTCCAAAAATTTGATATAAATTTCATGTCTCTTTTTTGATTTGGCCGGTAATAAATCTGAAGAGGTTTCTTCAGCTTTAAAAATAATTTCTGGGGGAGTACAATCGCTTTCTGACTCAGACATCATGAAAATGTGTTAAATTTAGGACGAACTGAAACTGACAGTTCTCAAAAGTGATAAAACTTCAAATAAACAAATGAAAACTAGGAAACTAGATGTATATTGGTTTAATTTGCACTATTTTTATACATTTTTATTTTATCTTTAATTCATTAAAGTTTAGGTAAGAACGCATATAGAATCTAATGAGCATCTTTTTATTTCATTATTAATAATTATAAGCTGCCAAAATATTATACGAGGCGACTGATATAGGAAAATATGTAACAACTTACTTTCATCACTAGAGACGAAAGTAAACGTTATGGGATTTTTTCTCACTAGTGACGAAAATCAAGTTTTCGCTGAAAGTATCCTGTGGCGAAAGATGTCTTTTTGTAAGAGTTCGTAGAAAAAATAATTTTTAAAATTGGACGTAATATAAAGTCATAATTATTAAATCAGCAAAGTAAATTCGGGTATAAAAATGACTATAATATCCTTTCTCAAGACGTTCCGTGTTCGTACCGAGGGATAGGCGATATTGTCTTCCTCGTCTACTTAGTATTGAAAATTGGACAGATATGGAATAAGGGGTACATATAGGATAGATCTGAAATTTAGTATTGCTCGATGGTGCAAAGTGGGAATATTTATTACATGAGATAATTTTGTTTTTAATATAGAATTTGCAATATTTCAGTATATTTAAAAAAGTGTTTGATTAGAAAAAGTTAGGTTAAAGCATTATATTTATATAACGAGTATATATTTTCTAAAATAATTCATTGTCCCAAGAACTAAGCTACTAAAATATTAAAATCTATAAATCAGTCTTTTAAATAATGTATTTAACAAATGTTTCACAATATATTAATTAACATGTTTTCTGACGTATTTGTAATAGAAACGTGGAAAAAATACCTATTTTTCGATCATCACAATATGTCGCCATGATGTAGTATCAATCGGCGTAATATAATTTTCTTTTTATAGATATTTTGGTAAGTAATAGAGATATTTTAATTCTGTAAAAGCCAGTTCATAGAGCGCTAAGAGAGCTTCAGTTTTAGATATAAATTAATTTTAAATAGGTGAATATGTAGATGGCGCTGCGCTCAATATATTTTTTCGATGGAAGGATCTTTCTTATATAACGCATCTTGTAAAAAATGCATTTTTAAGCAGATTTTATTCTATAAACTAATTCGATAAATCCAGCCATTTATGATATACAGAGTGGGTCACTCAAAACAGTTTCATCCTGTTTTTCAGCATTAATCATTGGATTTTAGGAAAATGCAAAAACAGGTTGATTTTTATTCCAAATTAAAAACATTTTTACAATACAGACATCTGTCATGTGTCAACCCCCTCCCTTGCACTTCTCCAAAACCTTAATTTTAAATAGGTAATGTACCATGTAGGGCACATCATTGAAATGGTAATTTAATGGATAATTCAGAAATATTTCTGTATATTGCGTTACTTAAATTTTATCGCCATCTAGCGGGATAAAAAACTACTACGTATTATAGAGTGTGACACTACAATGTGTAGTATATCATTAAAAGGGTTATTTTATAGGGAATTTAGAAATATGACTGTTCATTGCAATACTCTTAATTGTACCGCCCTCTATCGGGATAAAAAAAACTTATTTGAAAGCAAATTTAATTACTAATACAATGCACCACATAACATTAATATAAATATCCTCCTTATTGCACTTGTAATAGTTTGAAAATTATTCATGTATTATTTTAAACATTATTGCTAACTTTATTTTGTTGCAAGTGTAATATGGAAATATTCATATTAATGTTATGTGGTGCATTGAATTAGTAATTAAATTAGCTTTCAAATGAAGTGTCACACTTTATAATACATTACAGGTGCTTTATCCCGATAGAGGGCGCTAAAATTAAAAATATCGCAATAAACAGTCATATTTCTGATTTTCCCATAAAATTACCTTTTCAATGATGTGCCGTACATGATACATTCCTTATTTAAAATTAAGGGGTTAAAGAAGTAGAAGGGATGGGGTTGACACATGACAGATGTCTGTATTGTAAAAATGTGTTCAATTGGGAATAAAAATCGACATGTTTAAGCATTTTCTAAAAATCCAATTATTAATCCCGAAAAACAGGATGAAACTATGTATTTTGAGTGACCCACTCTGTATATCAAAAATGGCTAGATTTATCGAATTAGTTTATAGAACAAAATCTGCTTAAAACTGCATTTTTTATAAGATGCGTTATATAAGAAAGATCTTCCCATCGAAAAAAATATATTGAGCGCAGCGCCATCTACATATTGACCTATTTAAAATTAATTTATATCTGAAAGTAAAGCTCTCTTAGCGCTCTATGAACTGGTTTT